GCTCTGCTTTTATCTCATGAGGCTCAGAGCAAGGGCATAATCTTCTCTGATTTGAATTTTATCAGAGAGCAGAAATGGTGAAAATGACACATCTTTTGGAGAACTGACCACATCGGATGGACACCCTTGGCAGACCTGAATGGCTGGTGCCTGAGTAACCGTCTGAGGGCCTTTTGCCCCATGCAAAGACGACTTGTTCGTTACCGTTTGGAACGCGTAAAATGATTGGGAGGAGGAAGAGACAAACTTGTCAAGAAAAGCGAAGGACTGGCCTGCAGTGGGGTGGTCACTTAAAAGTATTGTATTGGGGCTCTCACAGCTCTTGTAACAATTCGTACATGAATTGTAGCAATCACATTTGTGCATATGTTGCGTCATCATTTTCAAAACACTTTCTTTCTACTTGAATCCTTCGGATCAGCCCCTTTTTCCCCCTCCCCGCACGAACCCTTGATAAATTATAAAATTTTCATCTTACACCGTCCACTGTCTCCCTTCACCCACATTTCTGTTGTTCGTCCCCCTGAGTGTGTGTGTGTTTGTGTGTATGTTATACGCTGATCATTGCTATCAGTTCCTCCTATCTCCCCCTTCGCCCACACCTTCCCCCTACCCTCATGGTATCACTACTCCCATTACTGTCCCTGAGGGGTTTATCTGTGCTGGATTCCGTGTGTCTAGAGCTCTTACCTGTTCCAATGTACATGCTCTGGTCTAGCCAGATTTGTAAGGTAGAACTGCAGTCATGATTGTCGGGGGTAGGTGCGGGGTGGGGTGGGGGAAGCATTAAAGAACTAGAGGAATGTTGTGCATTTCGTCAGTGCTGTGCTGCACCCTGACTTGTTCCTTCCTTGTGACCCTTCTGTGAGGGGATGTCCAATTGTCTGTAGATGGGCCCTGGGTCTCCACTCCAACCCTCTGTTTCCATCAATACTTTGAGTTTGTTTTGGTTTTTCCTATGCTTGATACCTGATTCTGATGACACTTCATGATCACAGTCTGGTGTGCTTCTTCCATGTGGGCTTTGTTGTTGCCCTGCTAGATGGCCTCATGTTTAACTTCAAGCTTTTGACCACAGACGCTATGGGATAGGTCACTTTTCTATGACCTTTCTTGCCGTGGTCCTTTAACTCCCACCAAACAAGTGGGTCAGGTTATGCAAATGAAGTTGTTGTAGTCCATCAAGGGGATTGGAGCGCTTGCAAATAATGCAAATAAGGTGCCAGCTACCATGGTGAATGTGGAGCCCTAGCTAAGGGGCTGTCGGCTTTGCCTTTCCCTTGGGCTTAAAATGAGCCATCCCAGAGGATGGTGTAGTTCATTACCATCACGGAGAGATGGAGTTGATCCTGTCCTTGGGGCCTGGAGACCCCTAGATCCAGGAGAGGGAGGGAGACCTCTGTCACCAGAGATTGCACAGGCTGCTAAGGACTGGAGCCTGAGAGAGTGCAGCAGCAGGACTAGGAGAGCAGCAGGAGACATTGCAGCTGGCTTCCTGGTCTGTGGACCGGCGGGGACAGCCGTGACTCTCCAAACAAGAGCTCACTTGCAGCCCAAAGTTTACAGATGGAGCAGGTTGCCCTGGACGCTTGTTGGCAGGACTAAAGAGCTTTGTGACACTTGCCGGAGCAGGGCAGAGGCAGGCGGGCGGGCACAAGACATGAAAGGGGTCAAGGGCCAGAGAACACTAATGAGAAAGGGATCTGACCCAAGAACTGTATCCTGAGTGGTTTCTGATGCGGACGTGCCACTTCTCTAGAAAACCCTCGTGTCTGTGAGTTGGGTGTGGCCATTGCAACTAATGATAGAACCAGCGGAGGAGCGCTGTGGGAGGGATGGTGGCTGTCAGAATTGGTAAAAGGTTACAGGGTGAAGGTATGTCTGACCTCTGCCTCATAGCAATCACCCTTGGGCTGCTGCTCCTTCTCTGTCCCTTTGCAAGGGGACAGAGGTCGGACACCTCTGCCACACCATTTTTTATCAGTAGGTGAAGGATTCATTATATTTTCTCTCCCTTCTCCATGGGATTTTTAAGAGTTACCCCCTATACACCAAGGTTCATTGATAGCACTTCTCGCAATGGCCCCCCAGTGGAAACAACGGAAATGCCCATCGACTGTTGAATGGATCGTGGTCATGTGGAGTGCATCCACATGGACTGACTACTCAACTGCAAAGAGAAGACACCGATGCGTGCCTCACGGATGAAACCAGTAAGTTGCAAAAGGTCATATATGTATGATCTCGTTTACATAAAATAAGCAAATATCTAGCAGCCAAAAGATGATGAATGGTTACCAGGGGTGGAAGAGAGGGAGAAAGGGGTTGCGATTTTTCCTCAGAAGGCACTAACTGTATGCTAATGTTGGTGGAATTACTTGGAAAAGGATATTGAGAACGCTGGCTGCGATAGCACAGGTATTGTGCTATCTGGGCTGAGTCTGTCGTTTGGCAGTTAAGATTCAGTTGTTTCCCCCAAAGGATGCGCTCTCCTTGGGTGTGGCCGGCTCCCTACATTAGTGGAAGCTGTGGAAATGCACGTTTGCTTTGATGGGTTTGGATCTTGTATCTGCCTTGCCATGACTGGTTCTTAGGATTTGAGTGTGTGATCCCGAGTTGATTGATCCTGAGACTGGTCAGTAGCCTTCCATCTAACCTTTCAACCTTAGATTCATTCGCCTCTGTAGCCAGAAGCCTGCCACCTGATCTGCTAATCTTGGTTTGTCAGCCCCAGCAGCTTATCCGGTCAGGAGACACTTCCAGCATGGTGACATCTGGACCAAGGCTTTAGAACTTCTCTGCCCCTTAAACGGTGGGAACTATTTCCTTGATATAAATCTCCCTGGTTCTATACATACATAGATAAGTGTCACTGATCTTATTTCTCTAGGAACCCAACCTATGACAATGATACAATCTGAAGAATGTAGCCAATATAAGTGTAGTAATGGTTGAGATGGTGTTTTGTTATTTCACAATTAGAAAATAATTCTGTTCCTTCCCCTGAAGGAGGGGCAAGGTTTACGGTAGTTGAGAAACCACAGCTGCAGCATACTGCACTGATTCATGTGCACTTCAGGTTTGGGCTCCTCCGTGTCACCCTTTAGGGATACCTGCCTGGCCCCCCAAACTGGGCTTGGGACACCCCTCTACACTCCCCCACCCCCACCCTAGAGCCCTTGCTGTTTCAGCTTGTTTGCATAACACCCACTGCCCTCATAGACAGTGTGAGGTGCTGCCTTTGAGAAGGTGGGTTTACGTAAGCAGAGAAGGGGCATGCTAAAAAATGTTGAGTCAAAATTAACTCAATGACAATGAGACTGGTGTCTGTGGCTCTTTCACATCAAACACACTGGTAGGCACCACGGCAGTGACCATCTCCAAGGGGGGAGGGCGGGGTGTCAGTGGCAGAACCCCTGCCTTGCAGGCCGGACACCCAGCTTCAATTCCTGACCTGTGCGGCTCACGCACAGCCACCACGCGCCGCCCATCAGTGGAGGTCTGTCGCCATGGTGCCGCACAGGTTTCAGGGGAGCCTCCGGACTTGGAAGCCCTGGGATGAACTTTAGGAACTGGGTCAGTGAAAGCCTTGTAGACCCCAATGATTCAGTCTGCGAGTGACCACAGGGACAGTGCAGGGCTGGACGGTCTTTGTTCGCGGTGTGCAGGCCCCCATGAGTGGCTTGAAAGCGGCCAACAGATAGCTCCGGCGGCTGTGGGGGCAGCTGTGGCTGCCGTGGAGAGGGTTCCAACTCTAGGTGATCCTGGGTGTTACAGAGTGAGGCTCTTCCCAGGGCTTTCGTGGCCGTCACCGGGATGGAGGCACATCTCCACGGTGCCGACGGGTGGGTTTGAACGGCCAACTCTTAGTTGTCAAAAACCCACCATTTGCCACCCAGGAACTTGGTGACAACGCTGAGCTTAAAAACAGCATGCACCCGCTAACGGCCACCCCTCCCCGGATGCTGGAGGGGCAGGGGCCACCTTGTTTGCTAGCAACAGGGTATCCCTCGTAGGGGACCAGCACCTCCCTCCAGCCGGTCCCATCCTGCACACTAACCGTCAGGATGGGCTGGCTTGGCACCCCAGGGAGGGCGGAGGGACACCCCCCACCCAACAGGAGACCAGAGCTGGCCCCAACCCATCATCCCTGACAGCAGAGTGCGCAGGACGCAGGCGGTCCCACTCTGATGGGCAGGACCCGGTCCCTCCCCCAGCCCTGCCCGCCC